ACAAGTGCATGCACCCACGTGTTATAGCCACAGACAGGGAATTGGCACTGATGCAGGGAATTGGCACTGATGAACGCATGTCAACAAGTTTTCCCCGGTGCCACTCGGTTACTTTGTAGATGGCACATTATTGAAAATATTAGAAAGCGTTGGAGGAGAACATTCAAGATAGACGATGAGTGGAAATCCTTTCGTATAATGTGGATTGTACTTGTTGACTCTCCAACATGGATAGTGTACAATGAAAACTACAAAACACTCCAATCGATGTTGAGAAAATATCAAGGTACAAATCTTCGTATTTTCTAACTAATTATTTATGATTTTAGACTATTTTCATAGATAAATAACATTTATATAATTGCCGATGTTTTAAATTATCTGGATGAAGTTTGGTTAAACAAATATAAGGAAATGTTTGTCTCGGTCTGGATCGATCAACATCTCAACTTTGTGAAGGGTTTTAGGTACAACAAATAAACTAGAAAAACAATTCCTAAGTTCACATGCAACCTACTTTGGATCTATGTTTTAACTATTGAACATATAACTTTGAATTGCAAAACAAGAACCCTAGAGGAGAGAGGCTATTATCGAAAATAGTAAACTAGGGTTTAGGGTTTACATACCTTTCAATTGTTATAGCAAACAATTGATATTCCCTTGATCTTGATCTTGATCTTCTTGGAAGCTTTAGCACCACAAGTGTAATGCCTCTAATGGAGTCACACCCAAACTAGCAAGAAAGGAAAGTAGAAGAGAGAGAGAGGAGAGGGAGTATGCAAAATCTCGGCCTTAGGGTTTCTTCAAAAGAAAGAGTCACCAAAAACATGAACCAGGAGGCTCCTTATATAGCTGAGGGATCTAGGGTTTAAGGGAAACCCTAGTTATCCTTTGCTTAGGGCCTAAGCAAACCCAAGGGCCTTATCCAAGCCCCTATGGACGAAATTATTAGGGTTTCCCCTAAAGATTTCGTCCACCCTCTTCCAAGGGGTTTCTAGAGCCTTCCACTCAACTATTGGATAATTGCAAACTAGTCCCTGCACCTTATAATTAATTCTTTTAACCCCAAAATCAATTCTGATTAATTTCTGGTTAACAATTAATTAAACATAATGATTTCTTATTAATATATTAATCTTTTAACATATTAATAAATCATTTATATTAATTCATTAATCTTATAAATTAATATCTCTCCTTTCATAATTTCCTTGTCCAGTTGCTAGGTTGAGGGCAACCCAAAAGGACTGTACTGCTATCAATTCAAGTACATACCAATTATAGTTATGGGCTTAGACACCTAATCCAACAGTCTCCCACTTGGATAAGTCTGTAACTATAATTGCTAGTATGCCTTCTAAATTTGACCAGCAAATTGTAGCTTCCAAAAAGCTACTGCCGAACTCTGACCCAGTCAGTTACGTGTCCTAAGATAAGTGATCATATAACCCTTCGTTCTGCTTGATATCCCCAGACAAAAGACATGGAATGTAATCAATCTGTTTATCCAGAATCTATGTTTCCCGATTCCTGATTTGTGATGATGTAGGACTTCTAATCGAACACATCAATTTAGTCCTGGCTGGGCCCAGCACATAAGTCAACACCAAATCATCGAGGGGCCCACAGATATCGCTTTTCCTGTTAGGGCAAAAGGAACGAATAAACGTTGACTCATATGCTTGTATCTTTTACTCATCAAATTATGCATGACAATACGTTTTATAACACCAAGTTACTGATGCGTTTTCGTATCACCAATGCACAACCGACTTGTAAATTACAACTCATATATCTTCGTTTCAAGATTATAGGATATTATCGTCTCAGTATTACTCGTGATGAATTCCATGAAGTAATACTCTGAGCGAGGGTTTATCCAATACTCAAATCTCAATTTCTGAGTACCCATGAACGTTGCAGCAATTCTATTGCCATGTCTATCCTTAGACAATCTGCAATCCAATTCATGACAGTCTTAATTCACTACTTACTTCCAAGAGTACGAGCGACTGTGGAGTTTGAATAATCTCATTATTCAGGAAGTAAAACATGCAAAAATGAAACACAATAATAAACAATCGACAAAAGGTAGTAGCCAAACTTATAAATAATACTTTATTATTTAATCACCAAAAGTCAATTACATTTACTTTGTTACAAGTTTCAAAACTAATCTAACTACTAAAACTAATATCATCTTTCAGTCCTATGCTTCGAGCATGCTGAATATGCTTAGCCCTACTCAGACCCTTTGTGAGAGGATCTGCTGGGTTATCTTCAGATGACACCCTCTTTACTATAAGATGGCCTTCTTCTACTCTATGTCTGATGAAATGGTACTTTCTGTCGATATGTCTGGTCTTACCATGATCTCTCGGTTCCTTTGTCAAGGCAACCGCTCCTTCATTATCGCAGAACAGTTCCATAGGCTCCTGGATGGTTTGGAACAACTCTGAGATCCCCGATGAAGTTCCTCAACCAAGCTGCTTCTTTCGACGCTTCACTTGCTGCTATGTACTCTGATTCACAAGTAGAATCAGCCACCGTATTTTGCTTGGAACTCTTCCAAGTAACTGCTCCTCCATTCAGTAAAAACACCCAGCCCGACTGAGAACGGAAGTTATCTCTATCCGTCTGAAAGCTGGCATCATGTAACCATCTACTCTCAAAGTATCACTGCCACCAAGCACAAGGACCCAGTCCTTTGTCCTTCGCAAATACTTGAGTATATTCTTAACTGCTATCCAATGAGCTCTACCTGGGTTTCCCTGATAGCGACTGACCATGCTCAAAGCAAATGCCACATCAGGGCGAGTACATGTCATAGCGTACATGATCGATCCGACAGCGGAAGCATAAGGTACACGACTCATGTCATCTATTTCAACATCTGTACTCGGGCATTGAGTCTTACTCAATTTGGTATTGCTCTGGATAGGTAGCTCTCCCTTCTTGGAATTTTCCATACTAAACCTCTTTAGTACCTTATCCAAGTATGTGCTCTGACTAAGTCCAATTAGTCTCTTCTTTCTATCTCTCAATATTCTAATCCCAAGAATATAGGCAGCTTCTCCAAGGTCTTTCATTGCAAAACACTTTCCAAGCCAAGACTTAACCTCTTTCAAGGTTGGAACGTCGTTACCAATGAGTAATATGTCATCGACATATAACACCAGAAAAGTTACTATACTCCCACTAGCCTTGATATACACACAAAACTCATCTTCACTTCTAGAGAAACCAAACTCTTTGACTTTCTCATGGAAGCAAAGATTCCAATGCGAGATGCTTGTTTCAATCCATAAATGGATTTCTCAAGCTTGCACACTCTATTGGGGAACTTTGCATCAAAAAACCCTCTGGCTGACTCATGTAAAACATCTTCAGCCAACTTCCCATTAAGGAAAGCAGTTTTGACATCCATCTGCCAGATTTCATAATCATGAAAGGCAGCTATGGCGAGCAATATCCTAATAGATTTAATCTTAGCCACTGGCGAGAAGGTCTCATCATAGTCAACCCCTGGGGTTTGAGTGAAACCTTTTGCAACCAGTCGAGCCTTGAATGTGTGTACATTTCCATCCATGTCTGTCTTCTTCTTGAAGATCCATTTGCACCCAACTGTCTTACGACCTGGTGCACTATCAACCAAATTCCAAACTTGGTTGTCATACATGGACTTAATCTCGCTGTCCATTGCCTCTTTCCACTTGGAAGCCTCTGGGCCTGCCATTGCTTCCTTATAAGTGACTGGTTCATCTAAGTTTACCAGTGTTCTGTCACTTATGAATGTGTCACCATCTGAAGTAATATGAAAACCATACAACTCAGGTGGCACACTCACCCTAGCGGATCTTCTAAGAGGTAATGAGTTATCGATTGGTTCAACAGGAACTGTTTCCTCTGGTTGAGTGCTAGTGTCATCTAAGGTTCCTCATTGGCTGAATCTTGAATTTCTTCAAGGTCAATAGTGCTCCCACTGTCCTCTTTGAATATGAGCTCTCTTTCAAGAAAGACTCCTCTTCGTGCTACAAGACCACGTTTTCACTAGGCCTGTAGAACAAATATCCAAAAGACTGCTTTGGGTAACCAATGAAAACACATTTCTCACTTCTAGCTGCTAGCTTGTCGTGAGTCTCTCGTCTACGAAAGCTTCACAACCCCAGACTTTAATATGTGCTAACGAGGGAACTTTCCCTGTCCACATTTCGTGAGGTGTTTTGGCAACCTTCTTTGTAGGGACAAGATTGAGGATGTGGGCGGCTGTCTCTAAGGCATACCCCCAGAAGTGAATAGGAAGCGAAGCCCGACTCATCATAGAAGAACCATGTCTAACAAGGTTCGATTGCGCCTCTCAGCTACACCATTTAACTGTGGTGTCCTAGGAGGAGTCAATTGTGAGACTATCCCACATTCTTTCAGATAGTCGTTAAACTCGATACTAAGATACTCCCCGCCTCTATCGGATCTAAGTATCTTTATCTTTCTGCCCAATTGATTTTCGACTTCATGTTTAAACTCTTTGAACTTTTCAAAAGTTTCTGACTTATGCTTGATCAAGTAGATATATCCATATCTGCTATAATCGTCAGTGAAAGTCACATAGAATCGATTAGCATCTCTTGTAGTTGATCTAAAGGGCCCACACACATCTGTGTGTATGAGATCCACAGACCTTCACCTCTTTCACAAGACCCTGTGAATGGTGATTTTGTCATCTTTCCCAAAAGACAAGATTCACACATATCATCTGACTTTAGGTCAAATGATTCCAACACTCCATCCTTTTGGAGTTGGGCTATGCGTTTCTTGTTAATGTGTCCAAGACGACAATGCCACAAGCATGCCTTGTCTACACTATTAGACAAGTCAATATTAAGTACACTATTTCCTAAGCTATCAACACAAGTCACTGTTTCATACACACCATTACAAGGCAAAGCTTCAAACATAAAAACACCATTCTTATAAACAGAAATTGAACCATTCAAATCATTAAAAGAATATGTAAAACCTTGTCTGAACAATGCATGAAATGAAATAATGTTTCTCGTCATCTCAGACGAATAGCAACAATTTATTAAATCTAATCTAACATCATTACTAAGCAGAAGCTGATAAACTCCGATCTTGGTTACTGGTGAAGACTTTCTGTTTCCCATGATCAGGTTTCTCCTTCCTCGCTCTATCTCCTCACTTTCCTTTAGACCCTGCAAATCAGAACAGATATGAAAACCACATCCTGTATCAAGGACCCATGAACGAGAAGATAATGAGTTATTAGCAGAAATAGTGTAAATACCTGCCGAAGATGGCTTCATTCTCATCAAGCTCTTTGAGCTCCTTTTCAAGAACATATTCTTTGTTCTCGAAACGAAGAGCCATCTTGATGTTGCGCATCCAATCATTATAGTTTGAGCCATCCATAACGACTTTGGAGCATATATTGAGCAAGGAGAAGTTCTGGTTGGAGGAGGATGAAGTAGAAGTGTTTCCAGGAGTAGACATCTGAAAAGAAAGAAAGTTTTAGTTAGATTTCAAGATACCTTAATAGAATAACCCAAAGATATAATATCAAGGTTAGGATCCAACTATGAAGATTCACAACTCAGAAATGGGATGCCGAGATCCAAGTGCAAATTTCATAAAGGTAGGCGAATGACGATTCACCAATTCCACCATTAGACGAAACAAACGAAGTGAAATTCCTAATTCTTTTGAGATACATTGAAACTATTCAATGGCATGTTTTAATCTCAGATTATGCTCTTCTATTTGTGACTGGGATGCCGAGGATCACAAACAAGATGTGAATAACCATGCAAATGTGCTTGGTAACCTCAATGTCTTTATCATTAACTATTGTTGTGCTGGTAAACCACACACGCTCCATCAAAATGACAATTATGAGATACCCATTACTACTCTTTATTAGTGCCTTTTAGTGTGCTGGTTAACCACACACGCTCCACTAACGACCAATAAAGCATAATGTGCAATTTCATGGATTAGCATACTTTTCACATTTTTCCTAAAGTAACTAGAGTTGGGATTTTTGAAAATAATGTTCTAGTACTTTTAATATCATTATACTTTTAATGAGAAGTAGTTGTCCTATCAAATCCGTTCTGCTAACGACCCTCCACTAATCAAGGAAGCGGTGGGTGAGAGTGGACACCCATTCAACTACCATTTTATAGGCAGTTTCCTTATACCCCCCTTATAGATTAGCTTCGTGAATGAGGCATACTAGCGATTTGACTGACCATATTCTTATACATATAATATTAAACCTTTAATTATAATATATATATAGGTGTGTTTTAAAACTTTTTAAAACTTCAAGGGTTTATATAAATTTCGAAATTTAACTAGATTTAATATTTATCTATTAATTAACTATTAATCAAATTATTAAATCTTGTAAGGATTATCTAATTAAATTAATCAATTAATTTAATCCTAATCCTTATCCCTCTAATTTCGAAAAATAGGGTAAGGATAATTATCCAATTAATCTAATTAAGTAACAATTATCCAAAAACAAGAAACCCTAGTTATCCTCTAGCATATTTCGAAATTTACAAGGGAGGAGGCTAGGGTTTTCAAAACCCTAACCCTAATTTCGATTAGGGTTCTTTGGAGGCTAGGGTTTTCGAAAAAACCCTTTGATCCAAAACCCTAGAAATCGAAAATTTGGCCTTTAGGGTTTAATAGCTATAAACCCTAATTTGCAATTCAACAATTGTAGCAATTCAATTTAAAACAACAATGGCTCTGATACCACTGAAGGGTTTTAGGTACAACAAATAAACTAGAAAAACAATTCCTAAGTTCACATGCAACCTACTTTGGATCTATGTTTTAACTATTGAACATATAACTTTGAATTGCAAAACAAGAACCCTAGAGGAGAGAGGCTATTATCGAAAATAGTAAACTAGGGTTTAGGGTTTACATACCTTTCAATTGTTATAGCAAACAATTGATATTCCCTTGATCTTGATCTTGAACTTCTTGGAAGCTTTAGCACCACAAGTGTAATGCCTCTAATGGAGTCACACCCAAACTAGCAAGAAGGAAAGTAGAAGAGAGAGAGAGGAGAGGGAGTATGCAAAATCTCGGCCTTAGGGTTTCTTCAAAAGAAAGAGTCACCAAAAACATGAACCAGGAGGCTCCTTATATAGCTGAGGGATCTAGGGTTTAAGGGAAACCCTAGTTATCCTTTGCTTAGGGCCTAAGCAAACCCAAGGGCCTTATCCAAGCCCCTATGGACGAAATTATTAGGGTTTCCCCTAAAGATTTCGTCCACCCTCTTCCAAGGGGTTTCTAGAGCCTTCCACTCAACTATTAGATAATTGCAAACTAGTCCCTGCACCTTATAATTAATTCTTTTAACCCCAAAATCAATTCTGATTAATTTCTGGTTAACAATTAATTAAACATAATGATTTCTTATTAATATATTAATCTTTTAACATATTAATAAATCATTTATATTAATTCATTAATCTTATAAATTAATATCTCTCCTTTCATAATTTCCTTGTCCAGTTGCTAGGTTGAGGGCAACCCAAAAGGACTGTACTGCTATCAATTCAAGTACATACCAATTATAGTTATGGGCTTAGACACCTAATCCAACACTTTGGACAACGAACTACGAATAGAGTTGAGAGCGCACATTCAAATCTAAAGAAGTTCTTGACGGCACAAATTCTTCTATTGATAAATTTATCTGTTGTCTTGATCGATTTTGTGAGGTCTCAACTTCCATCGATACATGATAGTCTTGAAAAGAGTAGAATTGTTCATAAACGAGAACACGACTTGCCATCTTTTAGATTATTGTGGGGTTCAGTGTCACATGAAGCTCTCGATAAAATAGTTGGGGAACTTTATCGGTTGAGTGAAAATCAAATTGACTCATCAAACTCTGGTTGTAAACTACAACATAGTTGTGGCTTACCATGTGCTTGCATGTTATCAGTTTACTTGAACTCGGGTGAGTATATTCAACAAGTATTTTTTTTAAATTTAATTAATATAGTGAATTTTTATATATTAATGGTATTTCAATACAGGTGAGTATATTCCATTAGATTCGATAGATATATTCTGGAGAAAGCTTGATTTATTAAAGTGAACTTCTGTAGCAAATGAGGATATTCGTTGTGAGGATGATTTAGAAATGATTAAAGAAAACTTTTATCAGCAGTCAAAAGCAGGAAAAAAAAGTATGATAAGAAAGCTAAGAGATATTTTCCTACCAAGTAAAACACGCATTAAGGAACCCACAGTTCAAAAAAATACCCGTGGACGACAAAACTTGAAGAAACAACAACAAAAACGAGTTGATTCTACAAATCAAGCTCCCAAAAGACGTAGCTATTCAACCACATCAAAATATGATGGAATTAATTCAACATGGATGAACAACGAACCGACAAGACATAGTTCATATGTTACCGCAATTCCAGACATGAATGAAGCAATTCCAGAATTCGATGAAGCAATTCCAGACATGAATGAAGCAATTCCAGAATTGAATGAAGCAATTCCAGACTCGAATGAAGCAATTCCAGACTTAAATGAATTTCTGGATTTGAACCAAGAGCCTCAGTCATGCTACATTCATCCATTAATGGATGAAATTCCACTCGTGTTTCGTCCATACGTCTCACGTATACAAAATGTTGAGGGTGATGGACATTGCGGATTTCGAACAATATCTATTTGTCTCGGGTATGGCGAAGATCAATGGCTCTACGTTCGAGAACAACTAGTAGACGAGTTACAGAGTGCATCCGATGTATATGCAACGGTTTTCATAGATGGAATCCATGAACTGTGGACTTCGTTGTATTTCTTCGGACCGAGTGCACCAACGAAACATTGGATGCTTATGCCTGAAACAGGTATTCTGATTGCTAACAGGTTTGGTGTGGTCCTTACTTTCTTAACCAATCATGGTTCCTTAACTTTCTTTCCTCTTTGGAAAGGTCCGAAAGAATTTTTGGACCATCGGATTATTACAATTTCAATTGTACATGGTAATCATTATGTTATGGTACAATTAAAAGAAATTTTCCGATGCCTACCATTTCGGCTTACTGGATCCGCCATAGAGCCCTGTGTGCAGCTGGATGGGAAACAATGTTTATGTCACGTCTGCAAAGTTATAGACAACTGAAACCTTGTAATCGTGATTTTATAACTATAGAGGATTGTTGAAGAGTATTATTTATGTCTTGTATTTGAAGATGATTTTATTAAATTAGATGATTGTTGTTGAATCAATTTTCATTTATTTATAAGGTATTTATGATGTTCATTATAATAACTTTTTGTTTAAAAAATCAAAAGTAATAAGTAATCATCATATGCATTTCGAACACTTCTTGGTTTAAAACTTTATGTAGCCACAAACAATAAAAATGTGTCCCCCTTATGAATTGTAAAACAAGAAAAATTTTAAAATATATAAATTTAAGAATATATTTAGTGGGTAGACAAGTAAAAAAAATTATAAAACAAGAAAAACTTTAAAAAAACGATAAAAATGTGTCCCCTTTATCAATTGTAAAACAAGAAAAACTTTAAAATATATAAATTTAAGAATAGATTTAGTGGGTAGATAAGTAAAAAAAATTATATAAATTTAAAAGTAGATTTAGTGAATGTACGAATAGAAGTTCCAAAAAATAATATAAATTTTATCGATTATAATATTTTATAATTGTATTGCATGAACAAATTTATGAAAAAAAGGGTTCTAAATTGATACAACTAATTTTTAGGGACTAAATTTGACCCAATTATTTTTTAGGGATTAAATTTGTGAATAATAAAGGACATGTTGAAAAATAGGAGACAATCATAATTTAAAAGTAATTATTATGTAATGATTTGTTATAGGGTTGTCTAAATAGCCAAATGGGGTGTCTCTTTAGCCAATCCCTAATTATAAGTTGATTTTTTTATAAAGGGTCAATGAGATTTCTAAGGGTGTCTCGTTAGCATCACCCATTTTGTAACTTATATAGATATAGATTCTCGATAATACTTTTACATTTTTTTTTTGTTTTTTACAAGTTTAACTTGTGTCTATCTTATCGCTAAGAATTCTATAAGTCATAGAGAAGTATAATTTTGGTCTATGTGTATAGCATAGCTGGTTTTGGTAATTTTGATCCCAAAATATTTTATTGCAGTTTTGATCTTTGATGTTGTTGTGAGAAATTTGTTCTATGTTCCAAATAAAATAGTTATTTTTTTGTCACTATTTGGTGCCAAAACTATCCATTTAACCTGGAACATGAAACCAAAAATGCAATATAAATTTTTTTGAATAGTTATCATATTAATATAACAAAGATTTTTAAAAATAAAAAAGTTAACACCAAATTTGCTGTTTTACATATAAAAACTAAAAGTGCATAACATCATATGAGAAAATACAAATTCGGTGTTAAAAAATCAAAATTATGTTAGTTTGGAACATTTTTTACATCAAATTTGGTATAAACAATGAGATACCTAAGCATCTTTTGTACTATATATCAAAACATACTTTATTAATTGCTTCTAGTTTCGAAGTATACAATGAAGGATTTGCTTCCACATTGACAATTTTGGTAAATACCCATTTTCTATCATATGTTTTAAAACCAAATCAATATCTTCAACAATCTTTTCTTCACAAAGGCCATGGATGATCAATTTATATGAATCAAAACTTGGAACCATTTTCATGGATGACATCTTTTTTGCTAAATTCATAGCCTTGATGTACTCTTTGCTATCGATCAATGCATACAAAACCTCTTGATATGTGCTTGGAATGGGTTCACATCCTTTTAGCAACATCTTATCAAAAACCTCAATACTTTCTTTGATTCGATTGTTCTTCCTTAAACCTGAAATCAGTATGTTTATGGAGATTGTATCAGGCTCTACACCTTCTGTTTCCATCTTGTGTAACAATGAAAAAGCTTCCTCAACACGACCAAGTTTACACAATCCATGCATCAAAGTTGAAAAGGTTCTCACATTAGGCTTACAATTCTGTTTAGGAAATTCATCGAACACTTGGAGTGCAGCATTTATGTCCCCGTTTTTACACAAGCCTTTCATCATGATGTTCAAGCAACAAGCATCGATTTCAACTCCTAATTTCCCAGCACCCATGTAAACCTCATGGATTACGTCAAACTGCTTGGTGTTCACAAGCAAATTCAATACAAAATTAAACGTTTTGGACGTTGGCCATGAACTGTAGTTTGGCATATCGAAAAGCGTTTCAATTGCTCGATTTATTCTACCAGCACGAAGCCCGTAAATCCTGATGACATTGTAGAAAAACCCATCGGAAAGTCTACATCTTTTTTCGACCTTGATTCTCTTCATTACTTCTTCAATTCCATCAAAGTTCTTGGCTTCTGAAAGATTATTTACCACGGATGTGTACAGAGCTTCATTGGGTTTATAATCTTTCCGCTTCGAGAGTTGATTAAGAACAGTGAGGGTCGAATTGGAATCTTTTAGGGTTTCGAAAATCTTGATGACTTCAGTTGGGCTTAACCAGTCTTTATGATTGTGTAATTCGAGGGGATCGAGTTTTATGGAAGAATTGAGTGAAGCAGTTGAATGATACCACTTCAGATTGATTTTGGGAAGTTTGGTAACGATCGAACGAGAAATCATCTTATTATTCAGGTTTTGGTTCAAACAAAAGTGGAACCTGCCATAAACTGATGACTTCTTGCTCCTCGTATGAAATGTCTTAAAGTACTTGTTTCGTACCTATATGTGAAAAGAAGGCCAAGTAGATTTTGTAGGGTTTAAGTTGTGGGAATGGTGTTCCTCCACCATTGCCGCTACTGCTCAACAATTAGTATATGTGGTCACAAATGTCTATAACCAATTTAGTTTCAAATTGAGTTCTGATGGCGCTAAATATAAACAGCGGTGTCATATCTTTAAAGACATTTGTCAAGGCACCAAGCTACTCGGTCACATCACTGGCACATCGAAACCAACAAGTGAAGATGTTAGGAAGTAAAGCGGATAACTAACAAAACTATAAGCACACAATACACAATATTTACGTGGTTCGATTAAGGTAACATACATCCACGGGCAGAAGGGGGGTATTCTTTTATTTCAGAGCTCTCATACAGAGGTTACAAGTACAATTACACAAAGATTCGTCTATCACTTTAGAATTCAAGATACAAAATGACCTAGCATGCATCTCTACTTATATTTGAGGGATCAGACCTAAAACCCTAATGGGCCAAACCCATTGGCCCATAGGCCCATGAAAGGTATCAACCACTCACAATCCGCCATGCAGCATCTTCTGGAACATTCTTGAGCATTATCATTTTCTAGGCATACTTAGATCAACATGGCACAACAAAGGAATCAATATGGCGCATCATATACCAAGATGGTCCATGATGGCACAACAACTTCTCCATGGCGCAACAACATCTCCAGACGGCGCAACAAGGAGTATGGATGGGGCAAGAACATCAAGCTTTGAGCAACATCATCACCATGGAGCAACAGGCACATGCATGGCACAACAACAAGCCTCATGGCGCAAGAGTGAACATGATGGCGCAAGAGGAGTGCCATGATGGCGCAAGAACAACATTCTTGGCCCATCCCTTTATCATATGGCGCAACAAGCATCCTTTGTTGCTCCATATCACTCCCAAGTGCTTCAAACCTCTTCCAGTTGCTCCAAACCCCTTCTATACGATCCGTTCCTTTGGCACTTGATCCGTTCCTTTGCCAGTCGATCCATCCCTTTCTCAGATGATTCGTTCCTTTGTCACATGCTCTATGAACCCTAAGTGCTCCATTTAGTCCCAAGTTCTCCAAATGCTCCACAAACATGATCCAAATGCTCGAGTCACATTTAACAATCTCCACATTGACTTGAGCATCCTCTGAACTCCACCTCGAACAAGAACTTCCTCTCCCTTCTTGCCATTCGTCCCCGAAGGGACCTATCTCCTGCGAACATCAACCAAGTCCAAGAAAAGCTTGAACTTATCCGTGGGCAACGACTTTGTCAACATATTTGCTGGGTTGCCTTGGTATTAATCTTCAGTATTGAAAACTTGTCTCCTTCCAGAATATCCCGAATGAAATTCAGTCTGACATCAATGTGCTTCATCTTCTCATGATACACAAGGTTCTTTGCAAGACTCAAAGCACTTTGACTGTCACAATACAAGACAGGCTTCTCCACCTTCAGACCAAGACTCTGAATAAGCCCTTGCAACCATATCTCCTCCTTTATTCCTTATGTCATGGACATGTACTCGGATTCAGTTGTAGACAAAGCAACAGTATCTTGCAACGTTGACTTCCAACTGATGGCACATTCGAATAAAGTGAATATGTAGCACGTCTGTGACCTGCGCTCCAACAATTCACCACCATAATCAGAGTCAGCATATCCCACCAAGTCACTCCTCGTATTTTCTCCATACACCAAGCAAACATCCATCGTTCCCTTCAAGTATCGCAAGATCCACTTTACAGCTTCCCAATGAGTCTTCCCTGGATTACTCATAAACCTGCTAACCACACTAACTGCATGAGCAAAATTAGGTATGGTACAGACCATAACATACATGAGACTTCCAAACAACACTTGAGTATGGAACCATGCTCATGTACTTCCTTTCTTCGTTAGTAGTGGGTATAGTGCTTGGACCAAGTTTAAAGTGAGCCACCAAAGGAGTTCCAACTGGCTTGGACTAATCACAGTTGAAGGACAACAGAACTTTCTCAATATACTTTTGTTGAGAAATACATAACCTCCCTGATCTTCTGTCCCTTTGAATCTCCATCCCCGATATCTTCTTTGCTGCTCCCAAATCCTTCATCTCAAACTCATTCTCCAGGGCTGCCTTCAAGGCATTTATTCTAGCCATGTCTTTAGTTGCGATTAGCATATCATCAACATATAGAAACATATATATATATATATATATATATATATATATATATATATATATATATATATATATAGGAATCTGGTGACAATTCCTTTGAGTAAACACAATTGTCAAACTGGTTCCGAGTGTAGCCATTCGAGATCATGAATGAATCAAATATCTTGTACCATTGTGTTGGAGAATGCTTCAAAGCATACAGAGATTTCTTTAGAAAACATACATGATCCTTCATAGAATCAAGGAACCCTTCTGACTGGGACATATAAATATTCTCTTCTAAGTTCCCATGAAGAAATGCGGTTTTCACATTAAGTTGTTCAAGCTCCAGATCAAACGCACTCACCAAGGCCAAAAGAATCCGGATTGTCTTGTGCTTCACGACCGGTGACAACACCTTGTGATAATCAATTCCTTCTTTCTGAGAGAACCCTTTTGACACCAACCTTGCTTTGAACCTAGTTGGTTCAACTCCTAGTATGGTCCTTCTTCTTAAAGATCCATTTGCATCCCACTGGCTTTGCTCCCTTTGGTAATGGAACAAGATCCCATGTTTCATTCTTCTATAAAGATTCCATTTCATCATTCATGGCCATCAACCAGTCATTTGCTTCTTTATTTGCCACAGCCTCTTTATACGATTGAGGCTCCTCAGTGTCAATGTCTTCTCCAGTTGCTAAAGCAAAAGCAATAGAGTCAAGTTCACCTGAATTCACACATCCCACATATCTATCAGGTTGTCGAATGACCCTATTTGTTATAGATTCAAACCCATCATCTTTTCCGGCATCAGAACCACTGGACGAAGATCCTATAGTTTGTTCTTGGGTTTCATCTTGTCCAGACTGTTTGCTGCCACCTTGCTCTTTGTCAGTTATAATAACTTTGTCTGGAGTTTGAGTTGCAAACTCCACCTTCTGGCTAGCACCCTAATCTTTGTTCCCTACTTGACTTGTATCACCTCCTCCCTGGTTACCCATGGCAGATTCATCAAAGGTCACATCTCTACTCATGATAAACTTAGGAGTTCTTCCTTCTTTTGTACACCACAGTCGATAACCTTTTACTCCTGTCGCATATCCTAGAAATATGCACTTCATTGCCCTTGGCTCAAGTTTACTATCATTCATATGAGCATATGCGGGACATCCAAATATACATAAACCAGAATAGTCAGAGGGTTTCCCAGACCATACCTCTTGAGGAGTCTTCAAGTCAATAGCAGTTGATGGTGATCTGTTCACAAGATAGCAAGCAGTGTTAACTGCTTCCGCCCATAATTGCTTGGATAAGTTAGCAAATATACGCATGCACCTTGAACGCTGCATGAGTGTTTGGTTTATCTGTTCTACCACTCCATTTTTCCGTGGTGTGTGTCGTATAGTGCGGTGCCTCACTATACCTTCTGCCTTGCAGAAATTATCAAATGAAGCATTGCAGAACTCCAACCCATTGTCAGTCCTCAGAGTCTTGACCTGTTTTCCAGTCCTTTTCTCAACCATGGTCTTCCACTCCTTGAACTTCCCAAACAACTCATCTTTGGTCTTCAGAAAGTACAACCAAACCTTCCTTGAATAGTCATCAATGAACGTCACAAAGTATGAGCATCCTCCTTGAGACTTCACTGGTGCAGGACCCCATAGATCTGAGTAAACATACTCCAGGATTTCCTTGCTTTTGTGTTGACCGATACCGAACTTCACTTTGCGATGTTTTCATTTTACTCAAGCTTCACAAAAATTTATCTTTCTAGTAACCTCTCCACTAAGCAGTCCTTGTTTACTTAGAACTGACATGCCATTCTCACTCATGTGCCCCAACCTATGATGCCACAACTCTGTCTTGTCATCACCTTCATTCAAGGATTGGGAGATAGCCACCGTTCCCATAACCGCACTACCTTTTAGGATATAGATCCCTCCGCGATTCATCTTCCCTTTCATTATAACTAGAGAGCCTTTGGTCACTTTGACCCAGTCACCTTCACCAGCATATCTCATCCTATTCTTAGCCAATGTGCCAAGAGAAATTAGATTCTTCTGAAGTTTTGGAACGTACCAGCAATCTAACTTTCTAACCATGCCATCATGTATCTTGATGTGCACCGTGCCCCTACCTTTGATACTGCTCACCTGATCATCACCCATCTTGACTGTGTCATCCCACTCTTTGAAGGAGTCAAACCAGTCACGATTATACATCATGTGATAGGATGCTCCAGAATCCAAGACCCAAGCATCAATAGAACTTGATGTACATACAGTTAGTACATCACCATCGTCCCTTTCGTCAGAACTTTCCTGAACCACATCAGCAGTGTTATTGTTGCTTGATTCACTCTTGGACTTCCCATTCTTCAAATGTGGACAATTTCGCTTGATGTGCCCCTTCTCCTTTCAGTTATAATATTTCATGTTCGATGAACCTTTAGACTTCGATTTAGAACGTGATCTCCCTCTGTTTCCCCTTTTCCTCTATCCTGTCCTCCCTCTCCCTACAAACAAATCAGAACTGGACATCTCCTCTCCAACTAAAACTTTTCTTTTCAGTTCCTTGGACATCAGAGAGCCCTTCACATCATTCACAGTGATCATTGTCCTACCATAGAGCATGGTATCAACGAAATTCTCATATGAGTTAGGAAAAGAACATATGAGAATGAGCACCTGGTTCTTCATCTTCAATCTTCACGTCAACACCTTGTAGATCCAAGATGATGCGATTGAA